GCTGGGTGGTTTAGAGTTTAAAATGAAAACTTCCACAAAACCCCACATAGCAAAATACATTCAACAATAGGGTGATCAAACAGTATAGGTCTAAAATTCATACAAAAAGAGGGGAAAAAATAAAATTAATATTAAAATTAACAGTATCCAGGAGCATTGGTATCCTTTTCTGGCCACCATAATTTATGATATCAACAGGCTGGAACATATCCGGAGAAGGATTTTCAAAAGCAGGGATTATTAAAATGTGCACTGTAGTGCCCTGTGGCTCCCTGGTGTGCTGGCAAGTCAGCTAGGAGCAATGTGGAAGCTTCTCTTTGTTTTCTCACTGAGCTGGTAGTGGTGATGGTAGTAGATGCTGCTTTTCTGGCTCCTTTGGGCTTCTTTGCTTCCTGCTCTGTCCCAAACCCCTCGCTTCTCCTCCTCAGGGGAACCGCAGGTCGAAAAAGTTTGGGAACCACTGGCCAAAGTGGTAAAAAAAGGAATCAAGCCCTTTGAGGAAGGATTGGAGGAGTTGTATTTGTTTAGCTTGCAGAAGAGAAGACTTGGAAGAAGATATGAAAGCCAAATTTCAGATATTTTAAGGCATAGGTCGGGGAACGGCTAAATTACCCAAAATGGGGTAAAAGTTAAAATCCTGGGGGTAATGAGCAGAATGGATGGGTGGGTGAATGGATGTGTGTGTGTGTGTGTGTGTGTGTGAGGGAGAGAAAGAGAGAGACTGACTCAAAACTATGAAAAAAAACACTGGAAAGAAAAAGAGAAACCTTGAATTAAGGCGGGGGTTTGGTGGCTATTTAAGGTGCTGTCTAGGTTTATCATTGCTTTTCTTCCAAGAAGCAGGCATCTTTGAATTTTGTGGCTGCTGTCGCCCTCTTCAGTGATCATGGAGCCCAAGAAAGTAAAATCTGTCACTGCCTCCATATCTGTCCCTTCTATTTGCCAGGAGGCGATGGGACCAGTGGGCATGATCTTAGTTTTTTTTTTATGTTGAGCTTCAGATCGTTTTTTGCACTCTCCTTTTTCACCCTCATTAAGAGGTTCTTTAATTCCTCCTCACTTTCTGCCATGCTTTGTGAAGTCAATGAAGCAGAAGTAGATGTTTTTATTGACCTCTCAGGCTTTCTCCATAATCCAGCGCATGTTTGCAATTTGGTCTCTAGTTTCTCTGCCCCTTCGGAATCCAGCTTATACTTCTGGGAGTTCTTGGTCCACATACTGCTGAAGCCTACCTTGGAGGATTTTGAGCATAACCTTGCTAGAGTGGGAAATGAATGCAATTGTACAGTAGTTGGAGCATTCTTTGGGACTGCCCTTCTTTGGGACTGGGTTGTAGACTGATCTTCTTTCCAATCCTCTGGCCACTGCTGAATTTTCCCATGATGATGATAAAAAAGTAGCGCAATGGTCCTTTGATTTTGGGCTGTGGCACCAGGGTGTGTGACATGGCCTTTAGCCTGGTTTGTTCCTTTTTGCACACCACACAAAGAATGATTAAAATGGTAGGGAGAGCCCCCTCCCAATATTGCGTTGGCTGTCTCTAGCAAGCATGTTATTGCTAGCACCACTCTGGTAGCCACTGATGATGATTAAATCCTCTGCGAGATAGCAAAAATTTAATGCAACTTGCTAGGCACGTTGGATACCTTACTACTCCCTATACCACACCAAATCAATATAAAATAGATACATATAATTGTAATTTCATAAAATGAGGCAGAGTTATAAAATTTCCATTAAAACTGATAAGACATCCCCTTTCTTTCCAGTTAATAGCATTGTATATCCTTAGTATAAGTAAAAGCTCAGCCATTGTTATATTAAAAGCATTATATTATCCATCTAAAATCATCTACCCAAACATCTGCACGTGAATAACCATTGCTGCAGCACAGAATTATCATATGGAAGATGGAGCAAGCTTATTTTCTTTAACTTAAGAGGGTGGGGCCTGAAGCAGTGGATTCAAATGACAAGAAAGGAAATAAAACATTAGGAAGAACATATTGACAGTAAAAGCTGTTTGATAGTGGAATGGACTGCCTAGGAGGGTGGTGAGCACTCTTTCATTGGAGATTTTCTAACAGAGATTGAATGCCCATCTGTCAGGGCATCCATTATGTTTTGTTGCCAATACTGGGCCTTAACATAAAATAACAAAAAGTCCATGTCACACATCCAGTGCACTACTTGAAAGAAATTGTAAAGGAGTGGAAAGGAATGATTTTGTTAAAGTTATTAAAGTTACTAGCTCCAAATTTCATAAACGCCAGTTTGTGCTTGAGGGTTCCAGAATAAATGGCCTTGGTTAATATGTCCTGTATTTTCAAATGAGTTGCAGACTGTTGTGTTAGGTTGCTTTATAGCACTTGCTGTTGTATATTGCTTTAAGTTATGTAACTTTAGAACTAGCTTTTTATGGGGCAAGAAAACAAAACTTGTGAAGACTGTCTAAACCATTTAAGCTCTTATCTTTGGCAACGTATGTGACTGATGTGGATATTTTCACAGTGGCTCAGATGAACTGAATATGTTTGCCTTGTGTTGTTAGTTCAGTTGGATAAATTTTAGACATCTGCAAAAGGCAGTTAAACATTATGATTTCAGCTGTGCTCTAAGGACATAGGTTGTAATGGTCCAGATTCCCCCCCCCACCCCACAATGCATCTAGTTTATCCAGTTCATTGTAAAGTAGTAAAGTCTAAACAGGACTGTACTGCAGATTTTTTGAAGCCTGTCAAAATGAATGACATTGAAGAAAAAGAAAAAGCAAGCAAACTGCTCTGGTATAGTGTTCCCCAAAATATCTTATGGATGAGTCAAAAGTGAGCTTATCCTGAGTAGTTGGTCGTGAATTTTTAGGACCAAGTGAAGAAATTCCTTTGTAAGGATAGGTATTTAAATACTGTGGAATATGATCCAACAGTCTTACTTTCTTTTGTTTAAGGGTCCCAAGAGCCCTAATGCACTCTATTTTTAGAAACAAAAGATATTCCAGTTTAAATTTCTTCATTAAACAGAAAGTTAAGAGAAAATTTGCTGACCATTGTAATGTTTATAATTTGAAAGGCAAAGCAAGATGCAAGGAGAGGTGACTAATAGTATGGTAAACATGATTCTGGGTCATTCAAGGTGTGCTCATTGATTAAACTAGAAAAATGTTATAAAAGCTGTTTTTCCTGGAGTCACTAGTTAGGATTGCAAACTCTTCAAATTTGTCTTATTTAATACTCCCAAATTAAAATAAATGTTGAAATTATCGCCCAGTTTATGGAACTAAGTTTCTTAAAATCTAAAATCATTATAATTCTTATGGCTTAAAGCATAATCTGTTTTACAAACAAGGGAACTTAATTGTTGATGATATTTAGGA